CCCCCCCCCCCCCCACTATCTTCAGCAGTCCGCACTGACCCACGTGTTCAAGCGTGGTCAAACAACCCCCATGGGGGAGGCCTTCATCCAGCAGCGGATTGACACAGGGCAGTACATTAAATCCTGTGCAGCGATGCCCGATGATTACACCGAGAAGCATATGCAAGAGCTGAGTTCATGCACAGAAAGGAGGGAAAAAACCAACATAAATTGCACCGTTGTAGTTTGCGAAGGGTAGTTTAAGTGCTGGATGCTACCAGTAAATCGTGGCTTCTCATCCATAATTGTCGGGCTTTGTGCATCACAACCGCAGCCTCCGGTCTTTCTAATCCCAGCAAGCTCAGCATCCAAACTCTGGGCCGAGAATATTGATTGAATGGAACGAATTTTAGCCTCAAGGCTATAACATTGCAAGGTCTATCAAACATAATATCTTAATTATAAATGCTGGCTGCTTGAGCCTGGCACAGAGCCACATATGTTGCTAAAATATTAAACACGAGGAGCCCAGACTATGCATATGCATACTGGCAGGTGGACCGGTGGCGTTTTCAGATTGATGGTTCGAAGGCGCCTGCCATTTCAATTGTATGTTCATTCAAATCAAGCAAGCTTGCAGGACCAAACATATTTCCAGGACTTACATATTGAAATGTTATATCATTAAGAGCGATGCATTTCTCGTTATTCTGACACCTATTCGTTTTTTACAAATTGTTTATACACAACCTTCTAGGCGAAGGGCCAAATGTAACGTTTTGGAATGACCTGGAAAATTGTTTCATTAGGATCTGTGCCCAGAATCCTTCAAAGATCCATCTTGTAACAACCTCTAGATTGTGCCCCACACCTGCGCAGTGGTTACCCGTGCCGATCTGCTAAATTGGAAGTTTCAAGAAGGACAACGAAACGTATATTTATATTATAAATACAAGTGTACCGTCACTAGCAATCGGGCAAAAACCATCGACTCACCACTACCCTTGAGCACCTGGCTTAATCTGTACCCTGGGTTCCCCAGCCCTGTATCTCTCAACACCGCAGCAGGTTAACTACCCCGAATGGGCTATTAACCCAATGCGCCACCCCTGCCAGCTCCTATTTTTAGTCGCAAAACCGCATCGTTCATTTGTTTTGCGCGTCACGCTCCGATGGCCAGGACGACTCCAGCGTTTCGCGGTGCACGGACGGAACGGTGGATGGGAGGGGGGGCAGTAGCCAAGAGCCCCCCCCCGCTCCCCCCCCACAAACATCCCCGACCCCACCCCACACGTCCGTGGCGTACGCACACCGCCCACGCTCGCCCCGGTGTGACACAGAGCGGCGGCGAACGCGAGCAGAATGTCTGCCAAGTCCCATCATCGTCCAGCTGCCCCGACGAGCACAAGGGGGGCTCGGCCGCCTCACGGGCTGCTGATGATCACCACCCACCCCCCCACTGCCCGGCACTTCCCTCCACCCCGCACCCCCCCCCGCACCCCCCCTTCCCCCCATATCATCGTTACTTTAAAAAAACATCGCGCAAGTAACAAAAGGGGTTCATTGCCCCCCAACAAAATGTTTCGAGGGCGGCCGTTGTACGTCACAGACCATTTCTGAGATTTTTCACGAATGTAAAATTAAAAGATGCATTTCTACAACATTTTAAGAAATCGTAAGAAGAACACTTGACGAGGAAAAAACATTTGTTTTGCCGCTTCTAAACGCTCGTCTGTGTGCGCCAACTGCTCACGTGCTGCGCTGGCGTTTGTTTGTCGAAACGAAACGACCAAAATATGTTTTTTTGTTCAAGATATTGGCTCTGGCGCGCTGCTGCTGCTGCTAACAATTGCGGTCGAAAACTTTAACAAAAATTGGAGTCGCACGCTTCTATAGATTTCAAATTGTCCTCCGAGTGATGCCGCGGTGCGTGCGCCAGTTGGGAAACAGAAGGGGGGGCGCCCCCACCCGGGGGGGCCCCACCCCACATGAGCAGCGAGGCCACACCGGCCGTGTCCGGAGCCGGGTTGGGGGTGGAGGCTACAATGCCACAAAAAGGCATATTCAGGGATTAGCAGCAACAAGAAAAACGTGGCGGGTTGCGTCGCAGGCCAATGTCGACCCTCACCCGCCGGGCGTCCCAGTTCGCCTCCCTCATGAGGCGCCGCAAGTTTCGCTCGACGAGCGGAGACGCGCCGTGACGCGGCGGGCGTCCATTGTGACGCGGCGGGCGTCCATTGTGACGCGGCGGGCGTCCATTGTGACGCGGCGGGCGTCCATTGTGACGCGTGGGTTACTGTGGTCACCCTCGGGGCCTTCATTTCAGTTGCGGTCTCCCCAGGTCAGTGACCGGGGGGGGAAAGGGGGGGAGATATTCCGACCCGCCACAGCACATTGAGTTCGCCCCCCATTCTCTGCGGTCACTGTTCATGTGTCACCTACTCCGGTCTATTGGTTACCCGCAACATACTCTTTGGTTCTATCGGTAAAGTCCCTCCTCCCTGGCTCCTCCCCCCCTCTTGCACTGTATAATCGCTTGTCACTAACAACTCTCTGTGCCCACGACAGTAATTTTGTTTTCTGCTGTGGTTGTCCCACCGGATGACGGAAGCTTGTGTTGCTTCCGAAACGTCGTGATTTAATTTAGTTATTTCTATTTTTATTTTTTTTATTTTTTTTCACCTACGTGACTTTACCGATAGAACCAAAGAGTATGGATCCTTGCAGTCACGAAAACTTCAAATCTAGAATTCGGTGAGAAATTTAATCTCCTGGTTGCAGCGCTAGACAGCCATTTGGGAGTCTGCTCAGTACGTCATACCTCTAGGGTAAATTAAATGGGAAATCGCGCGTGGTTATCTTATATTGAGATACGTTTCTACCATGGGAATGTACGATTCCCCACAGGATCACCGTCCCTGTCTCGATCCGTCTTGATTAACTTCCCCTTGAGAATCAATGCACCCAAGTGATTAAGACTCACGATTTAATTCAAAAATCGATTAATTTAGTGACCTGTCTTGGGGGTCACGTGCGCCCATTACATGCAAACACGTACGAGGCAGGAACCACATTTTTCCACGCGAGATTTGATGCGTGCATCGCGAGCTACAGGAATCGATATTATTCCGTGCGTCGATGCATTATCATCGGCCAGGATCATCAACCCATTGCGGGACGAGGCCCTCCCCCGAGCAGTTGCCACCTCGCACATTATCGCCGTGCGATAATTATCCATCTCGCGCCTGCACACGCGGTCATCTCACCGCTCCCGCCCCGTGGCGGGCGGCCCCTTGGGCGTCGTAGCACCCTCAAATGGAGGCTTTTACCCAGCAGCGTGGAACGCTAACGACCGCGGCCACACCCGGGAGCCGCCGAGACCGGGTGGAGTGTGGAGGGCTGAGCAGCGTAGACGTGGATGAGGACGACGATGCGATGCTCTGCACGAGGAGTGGCATGTGTCAAGACCGCCATCTTATCACCGACCGAGCTCCACCCCAAGATCTTCGACTAAGCACAAAGTAACACGATGATCCAAATGGCAAAGTTGGCTCACTCAGCTTCAAAATACCAATATCATCATCATCATGAATCGTTGCATAATCATCAACTATAATATATCCACTGCTGGATGAGGGGCTTCTCAGGCCATCGCCATCTCTGAGAGTCTACAGAGAAAACTTGGCAACACCCTCCTGATTAAAGGGTCCCGAGACCCGGTGAGGCTTTTCTGTGTTAACAAGCGGAGTAATAACGATGACGGAAGGGCAGATTTTACACCGACGGTCTACCTTCGCAGATGACTCGGCTACATTATTTCTATGAAGGCGACGCCAGCGTCTGGTGCCACCTGGCGCCATGTGACGTCGCCACGGGGGCACCAAGAGATGAAAACAACCGATATGGATCATCACAGGAAACATGCAAAGTTGGCAATGTGATTGGCCCAGCATTCGTCCAAAATTTCAAATTTTAATCTGGACGGGAGGAAGAATATCCTCACAAAAACCAGAAGCGGTGAGAACTCGGCTGTTCTTGTGCATTCCTACGCCAAGGACACACACACCGTGAGGCTTAAATGGTTCGGGAAAGGTTTACAGATCTTCTCGGATGGCTACCTTAACAAGAGGGCAGTCCTGGATAAATCAGGACAGGTGGCAACCCTAAGCGCACCGGGTGTGGCGGGCAGCTTCACGCTTCCCGCACGGACGGTTCTGGCGATGCAGCCTCAGCTCCTGCCCTCTCGCTCAGGAACACACGCAGTCACGTGACCGTCCTGCATTCATTCAATAATTCATTGATTGAGCATGGGCAAAAACGATTGCTTCAGTGTTAAAGCTCAAATTTCTGATGAACATTTATAAAATCGTGAATGAGCAGAGGCGGGGTGGGGTGGCTCAGAGGTCAGGGGACTGAGCTGACACCGTTGGGATCCTGGGTTTGAACCCAGAAAGTCACCTGAGATTAAACCGGGTTCTCAGGTATAACGGAGTTGGTCTCAGCCCGCTCGTCACAATGATTGGGACAATTTGATCACGTTAAAAATGTGGTTGTGCACTTAATTTTTCTCATCACAATAACGAATGAGCAAACGAATGAGCAAACGCAGTCGGCATTCGCATGCGCAGGGGAGCGGCTCTGGTGAGGGCGGGCGGGCGATCTGTACCGTTCGATGTCGCACCTCCCGCTCTCACGCACGCACGCTCGCACTGTATCAACTATCAGTACTGGCGTCCGTCCCAGCATCTTCAAGCGAACAACTCGAAACCCCGGATCCAGTGTGCATGTTTTCCTTTGTTATTCTTACTCGGATGCCATCCGTTACACGCCTACACACGTACAAAACGCCCGTTTATATTTTATACTGCATCCCCCCGTCATCCTGTGCCGTTACATCTGGCCCCGTGTAAAACGATTGCTTCTCCGCCCCGATGATTTTTTTATTCTTCTCTCGACCACAGATCACGCGCACGCGCAAATTCAGAGACGGTCGCGAAGAGTTCGACATTGCGGTTACTCACATTGCTCATGCGGCGGAGAAGGGCTGGCCAGCGACGCGGGCGTCGGTAAACGTGCGAGCAACGATGCGTTCACATCCCTGGCGTGGCCACGGTGCGTTAGGCCAGAGAACGCGGCGGCGGCGGCGGAGGACACGAGCGTTGCACGCGCCAAGCCCCGCCGACTGCACTGCAGCACTCACCACTCCTCCCTCCTGCCCCCCCCCCCCTGACGCCGAGTCGCACATCCACGCAATGCCCTCCCACCCCCACCTCTCATCTCCCCCTTCGCTCGCTCGCACGCTCGCTCCATCCCTCCTCCGTCCTCCACTCCCCCTCCACATCCCCATTGGCTGCCTTGGGCTTTTGCTGCGAATAACGTCACTGGATCATAACGGGAAATAACAACCCCTTGCGGCGAATCACTTCCCCACGCACCGCACATTTTTTTTCCTAAAATCTAGAATGTCTTGTGAATGCACACGCACGTACACACACGCGTGCGTGCGTGGAAGCAAGCGCATACGCGTACTCACAAACACGCTCGCTCTCTATATGCCTGCAGCTCTTGATCTCTTGGCGCATAACAAACAGGCAGCGTAATTGTATCACGTCTCAAATGTATTAGGCGAGCTTACTCGGAGATTACAAACCACCGCGTGCCACTAGTGGGCGAGTCACTAATTGGGCATGAGCACCGAATAAAAAAGAAAGATCTCCATCCATTTGGTAACTTTGCAATCATCATCAGCAGCAGCAGCATTCCTGGAACAGCACTGCAAAGGGGGCATTAGTTCACAGCCGATCCTCCCCTTGCGTCACCGCATTCATGGAGGAGAGAGGCCGTGGGCGGAGGAAAGAGCAAGCGGGGAAAGAAGTGATGGAGAGCACGAAAGCAGAAGTGGGTCCTCCATCTGGGAGTGGCACCCCCATCAGCGAGTGCGGCTCCTTGAGTTTCTCTCCTGACCCCTGTGACCCAGACCCCCACCACGGCATCAGCTCCGGCATTCCTGAGCCCTCTGCGGCTCCACGGATTGTAACCCTGTGCATTATTTACGAACTCCATTAACTAAGTGTCCGTAAAATATTGCGGAGCTCGAGTTAAAAACGTAAACGCTCGCACGTGTGCTTGAGCCAAAACAGAGACGAACAAGTATAGTACATGAGATAGCCGTGCTGCCTTCAGTAGCGCAGTTTGAAAAAAGAGAATATCTAAATAAAGTCTTCATTTTACACTAACTTCATGCCGATTGTGGCATCGTGTCACATGACTAAAGATCCATTTGGAACTCTCGCAGAGTAATCGTCCAAGTTAGAGAATGACCTGCAGAAGCAAATATCACAGATCTACCTGTGAGATCCCTAAACATGTGTTTGATTAATTATTTGGCTGCTGTAAATTTGCACATAAGCCAATTCGTTACGCTATCAGTGGGCTTTACCTGGTAAAAAACACTTTTTCGTGATTTGCGTATCTTTCCTATACTTTGTACTCCTTTTGTGTTTTCTTTTGTAACTTTCTGACTCGTCCCTACTGAACATCTGTGAAAAACTGCTTCAGAGTTCATCGGATTTGTGCGGAATAAATAAAGATTCTGCAGTGACCTCTGGTCCACGTAAAAGAAAGCAACAATTCCGCACGCACTCTACATCGGACTACACAGTAATATTCACTACACACGATCAAACCAATTGTTATTCTCAGAGCTGGAATTTAGTCAACTTCAGTGCGGAACTAAATTTAACGCGATGTTTGTTTGTGCACAGTCATCGGTGACTGGGTCGAGACCATCAACGTACCTCACTGCACTTGAGACCCATTAACCACGAGTGGCCCACACCCAGAGATGTGAACCCACAACCTCTGCAGCCACAGCTCAGTGCTCAGATCTCCAAACCACCCGGCCACCTCCAGGTCAAGCATTTTTCTTGTTAAATCTCAAATGCCTTCCAGGACATCCTTAAGCCACGAGAATTAACAAGTGAATGCACTACGGTTTTGCAAGACTCATAACGATGACAATCTATCCCGTAATTTAAATTGACATGGCGAAATATCATAATCCCTCCCAATGTGTACGACACACCGATGAAGGTTGAAGCAATAACTGGAAATGCAATCATTCTAAGGAGCTGGAAGGGCTTCAACAAATCAGAACAATGCCCGCATGAGTCATACAACTGAGACAATCACTCCAATAATTTGGTCACAAAGTCCCTGCCCACTGTCCGCTTCCTACAAACACAAAACCTGGCAGCCATGGTGCTGCCACGCTTTGGAAACTGCGGGGCGGGGGGGGGTGCCTTTACTTGTGAAATAGTGCGCAGTAGCCAGGGTCACGTGCGTGGGCCACACAGCTGCGAAGTATCTGAATTTGTGCAGTAGGAATCGAAACTGTGCGGATATGCATGTGTACTGTGTGCTGCGTGTTGATCGAGAGTGTGCGTTGACCAGTGACGCAACACTTTGTTGGGGTCTCTTTTAGCCACCTATAAATATGTTATTGGTGCATCTCACCCACATCTGAACGTGCTGGTTGGGTGGTGGATGTTTGGATACCCTCCATGCCCACAGGGGCTGCACCCCCTGCTGTCAGCACAACTACCAATCCCACATCACCGTGCTGACGCGGACACTTTTCCACACATCGTTCAACGTCAAAGACGGCAGCATTGGAAGAGAACGCGAGCGGTGTTTACAGATGAATGGAATGCGGCGGTCGTAATGTGCCCATTCGAAATTCCAAACGGTTCTGTGCCAAGAGCCAGTCTGGGTCTGGCACGGAGAGGCATTGCAGGGAGGGGCTTGCTTAAATAGGGCAGCATGAGCACCACACCGAACGTGTGGCAAGGAAAAGGGCTTGGTAGTTGACACACACACACGTACATCAACTCCGCACCTCCGATTAACACGGTTGGCAACGTACGGTGTGAAAGAAATTCAGCATGCAAACTAAGGCGTGGAGCGGCGGCGCAGCGATTCGCGCACTCTGCTACGAAGCTGGCGACGCGCATTTATTTAGCTATGCATCATTGCCTGCAGCTGGTTGTGGGAATTTAAGCTTACTTTGTAGGATATCTGTCAGGGGGTGCTTTGCACCAAGCAAAAAAAGAACGTATACGGGGGATCGTGACCAATGTCCACCGGCCGCACGCGTTTACAAAAAGGTAAATGTCAGGTGGTGTACCCTCAAATGGATGTTTTAAACGCCACGCTCTCGACTGAAATTAGCAATTCTGCACAGGAGGAGGGGGAAACAAACACCAGTTTGTCATGGGCGCGAAACGGGTGACAAAATCAGCATTGTGTGGCCGGAGAAAACCGCAGGCTCAGCACAGCCCCCACGTGTAATGTATTGCCCCGCTCCACACCGGTTGTACTATCGCAAAAAGGCCTGGTTTCAAACAAGAATAACATGTGGGTTGAAATGTCATTGCTTTTGTTTTCATAATCGCTTACATTTGTACCCAATCAAAATGCTATGAATCAATTTCTTTGGTGTTACCGTGGTAACTGCATTACCATAGCAATTGCCTCGGATAGATAGCCATTGCAAATCACCGCCGTCATCACATGACATGGCGATGTCACGGGCCGCCAACCCAATCGGGGAGCACCTGAGCCCATGACGCTAAGGAGGGGAGCGATTCCTGCTTCTATTAGAATGCTCATCACTGAGAAAATATTATACCAATGGCCTCAAAATCCCTTAACCCTACCTCTGACACAACCTTACCCCGAACCCTACCTTACTCTTAACCCTTCCCTAGCTCTAACCCTAACATATCCCTAAACCCTATCAAACCTCTAACCGTACCCTTTCCCCTAACACTACCTTCACCCCTAACCCTACCTTAACTTTATCCATACCTTACCCCTAAACCTACCTTAACCCCTAGCCCTACTCGTACCCTTAACCTACCCGACCCCTAACCCTTAACCATGCCCATCATCCAAACCATGCCCGAGCCCTAATTGTAACCCTACCTCGAAGTCGAATCCCATTCCCAAGCCTCACTTTAACACTACCATAACCCTTAACTTACCCTACACCCCTAATTCTTCTCTCCCGAACTCTGCCACTAACTGTTCACCTACTCATTAACCTAAATATTAACTCTACCCCTAAATGTAACCCTAACCTTAAACACGCCCATTAACCTACTCTAGCCCACCCGAACCTTACCAGTTAGCCCCTGACTTTACCCCTAACACTATTATTAACCCCACAATATAACCCTACCCCTAACCACGAAATCTAACACACTACCCAAAATCTACTATAACCTTACCGTATCCCCATTCCTAACCCTAGATATACACCTAACTTTACCATAACCATTATCCTAACCCGAGCCCAATTCTACCCTCAATCCTATCCCTAACCCTACCCTTACAACCCAAATCCAGCACTAGGTGTATGCACCCCAGACAAACGCATCTGGAATACATTTTATTTTTTTACCGACTCGTTATTTTCCGCCTTAGGCGACCAACGACGTTTTCTAAATCGCACAAATTGTGGCACGGCAATTTCTAGAGTAAGTACCACAGATATTTTCTCTTGTTATATTTTCATGCAAGGGGCATTTTTGAAAATGTTTTTTTCGTTTAACATTTGACATCCACAGTTAAAATCAAACTACTCACAATGGATATATATGTCATGAGTATTTTGTTAAGACGACAAGTGAAATGGTTTTTTTTCATTAGCATTTTTTCATTACAAGTGAAATGGATTTTTTTCATTAGCATTTTTTCATTACAAGTGAAATGCATCTTTCTCATTAGCATTATTGAGCACCAAGGAGCGACAGGATTCATTAATCTACGGTGGCCAGCGCCCTGCTCCCCGCACGCCGCACGCACAGAAAGCGACATTCCGCCATTGCCAATTGATAATCACGTCCCGTTCCATGGCTGCAAAAGATGCAATGACTGCGCAATCCCCCCGGTGAGACGGCCGAAGGCTCGGAGACCGGGAATGACCTCGCTGCTGATGGGATCGAGTGGCATACAGAGAGTCGAGGCTCATTCCCAGCGAAATCAGTCCCTTGTGCAGGCACACGGAGAACCCGTGGTAAATCTGGAGCCATTGGTATGCGACGCACCTCCCGCGTAAAGCCACAACCCTTGGCGCCCAACCTGAATTATGTGTTTTTTTTTACGGTGTGCATTGACACGAGGTAAAAAAAAT